TCCTGATACGTAAAACCATAGAACTCAAAGAGGGTGTACTTTCTTTTTCACATGACTGTAGCTCGCATTTTAGGAAGGGGACTTGCAAACTGGAACTTGCCCAGAGGAGAGCAACTGAGATGATAGAGTAACAAGGATGGAAAACACATGAGACATAGTTGGAAACTTTTGATATGTTTAGCCTAGAACAGGGGTTCTCAAAGTACGGCCCACGGGCCGGATACGGCCCGCCAGGGTCATTTATCCCGCCCGCCTGATTGGCCACCGCTGCTGTCTATCAGAAGCGGAAGTGTCGGGGCTGTGTAGGGAGCTGCAGGCGATGCACAAGGAGGGAGATCGCAGAGCTGGACTATTCTACATGACAGGTATGCTGGGTCCAGCGGCTCTCCTCTCCTGTTTTTTTTTCAAACTATAGTCCAGCCCCCCAACATTTTGAGGGGCCATGAACTGGCCCCCTGTTTAAAAAGTTTGAAGACCCCTGGCCTAGAAGAAGAAAAGACTACAGGAAGATGTGATAACTGTCATGAAGTACTTGAAGGGTTGCCATGTAGGAGATGAGGCAGACTTGCAATGTTGTTTCAGAACAAGAAACAAATCATGAAGAAGCAGATTTTAACTGAATATCAGAAAATAAAATCTGTAACATTTGGCATATTAACATTATCATGGACATAGAGGAAAAAGAACATTTGGACCAGTTATTCAAACTCATGTTTACAGAAAAGGATGCAAGTAATGGTAAAAGAAGAGAAATGTTACAGGTAGTCCTTGACTTACGACCATTCAACAGCGCTGAAAAAAGTGACTTGTGACCAGTCCTCACACAACCATCACAGTGTTCCTGCAGTCACATGATCAAAATTTGGGTGCTTGGCAACCAGCATGTATTTACGGCAGTTGCGGCATCCAGGGTCATGTGATCACCATTTATGACCTTCCTAGCTGGCTTCCAACAAACAAAATCAATAGGGAACTGTGTGATTCACAAATGACTGTGTGATTCGCTTAATGATCATGTGATTTGCTTAGCAACTGCGGTGATTTGCTTAACGACCACCGCAAAAAATGTCATAAAATCAGGTCCAGTCTGCCTCACTTAACAACCACATTGCTTTAAGACTAATTTTCTGGTCCCTATTGTGCTCGAAAGTTGAGGACTACCTGAATTTAAACATTTTGTTCTATTTTATTTGTTAGTGGAGTTTATCACGCACAAAAAATGTAATGGGTTGGGAAGCAGGCTTTTCCTATGCATTCCATTCCAATTTTATAGAGAGGAACAAGACTGCCCTGCCTGCAGCACAGAAGTACTTTTATGAGCTCTGAAACTGATGTACAGTTGTCTGTATGTTCAGGAGTGCTAGCAGACTCGTAGTGCTTGTGCTGACTAGGACATTCTTCTGTTGATTAACTAATTAACACATATGCTGTGATAAGAAGCACTAGAGATGGGGTTTGAGGAGAACTGGGGCAGAAGAAAAAGAAGCCTTCGCACTCCTTTTGTGTAACAACATGCCTATACAGAAAGCATAACCCTTCAAATTGGTACCACAACCATGGATAACAAAAAAGAAGATATATCTATCTTGAAATCAGAGTTGTTACTGATTTATATTTATTTATACTCATTCCTCAATCATCACAGGTTGTTCCTTTTTTTTTAAATAACTTATTACAAATGTATTACAGGTCGCAAAGGAACAAGGTTTAGATGTATTACCAGAGCACGATCCAATACGCGATCAGAGTTGGTATGTAAACAAAAAACTCCGCCAAAGACTGTTTGAAGAATATGGAGTAAAAACATGTACTCTCATCCAGTTCCTTGGTGATGCTATTATTTTACCAGCAGGAGCCCTGCACCAGGTAAAGTTAAGTGTAATATGTTACTTTAATTTGTACCTGTTCTAAGACATAACTGACAAGAGATACTACACTTGATCTCAGCCAAAGATCAAAAGGATTTTGTTTTGGTTGTTTTGTAGTTGACAAGTAAAATGGTTCTGGAGGAATATTTTAATGCATTAGGCATTGTGTCAAAGCTTATTTTAAAATGTTGGGCCTTTAGGCTTAGAAGAAATATCTGCAAACAAAGTATTTTCTTGTTTGCTTTTTTAGATATAACCCTGAGCTAGGGAGCAAATTAAATGGTGGTTCTGTCAAGTCTCTTGTCTGAAAGGAAAGCGGTTATAAATGCAATTATATTTTGCGCTCTCTCTCTAAGGTCACATCATTTCTTTACTGCTATGTATTTTCTATGTGGCTTACATTTAATCATTATAACTGCTTTAAAATCTATTTTTTATTATATTGCAAGATGCTTTATTTGGCTCTGTCAGTTAAATTTTATTACAGTTTGTTGACCAAAGAAATCTCTTTGCTTGGCTATTTGCCTGAAGAAAAAGGACATAAATTGCAGCATGTAGCAGATGTATTGAGGCATAAATTTATCTATAAATTTTGTACCAGAAAGTTCTACTACATTTCTTTTTCAGTCAACCCCTATATGCTGCCCAGTAATAGCTGGTTGTGTCTTTGTTTTTGCTTTTGTTTTGGCTCAGGTGCAAAATTTTCATAGCTGTATTCAAGTAACGGAAGACTTTGTATCTCCAGAACATCTTGCACAATCATTTCATTTAACACAAGAGCTTAGACTCTCAAAGGAAGAAATCAACTACGATGACAAGCTGCAGGTAACAGATGAATGAATGCTTGCCATTATTCAGTTTCTGGTGAAATGTCATTCTTCTCTAATGCTCACTTTGCATCTGGGATTACAGCAGCCTTGCCTACATGTTGCTTGTATTTAAGCTAAGGGTGCATATCGAGAACATATCCTTCCCCCTCTGTTTCTGTTTTTGTCTCCTGCCTGGCCTCTGTCAGTCCATAAGGAGAGCTGAAGCCAGGGTTGTAAATATTCTGTCCTGGAGAAGATCACAGTTAAGCACAGGATTCAGTTCAGAACCAGGGTCATACAAGACCAGAGGCCCAGGGTCTCTTCTTCACTGTCTGTCTTCAAACATTCATTTCTTCCTTGATTTTCTTACAGATAAAAAATATATTATGTCATACAATTAAGGAAATGGTGAGAGCTTTGAAAATTCATGAACATGAAATTGAAGATATGGAAGAAAATTAAATGTATGCGTTCTCCTTTGGGGCTCAGAAGAACATTATCGTATTTTTCTTTACGATAAAGAGTCTTTTCACTAATATAAGCTGCACGAACCATCAGTGCCAAGAAAATATGTTTATTATATTTACTTGCTACTGACACTGCAACAAATTAGGCTCTCCTTACAGTTCTTTTGATTTAACTTGAGCTTTTTAGAAATGGAAAACTCTAAACAGCACTGTGCTGTTATGTATTATAGTGTAAATGAATTTTTCAAGCTGTCAAAAGTTTAAGATGTATTTATTTTTGGAAAAAACTACAGAATTCTATGCTCTATTGTTGATCAAATGTAAATGTGATTTGTACAGTTTGGTTAAAATAACTTGGATATTTTTCACTGCATTGAGACAGTTACTGTGAGAGTAGGATACAAACACCAGCTATTGCCTGCATTTGAGATATTGCTGAATCCGCACAGCAGTCATGTCATGATCTGAAAATTACTGCCAAATAACTGTAAACTTTGTATCATAAAAAATATATGAAATAGATACTACAGACACTTCAGTATTTTATTGAAGCTATTCAGTGTACAATTAAACATTTTCAGAAATGTGTAATTTATTTAAAATTCGTCTCATTTTGGTAAAATTTATGTGAACTTTTAAAGCTAAATATAAAACTTAATATGCTATGTAAATATATACATATATACATTCAATAATGTATTTTTTTAAAACATTGGCTTGCTTTAATTTGTTAAAAGTGCAAGTGTTAAACATGCTTTGTACATCAAAAGTTGAAAGGGGTTTTACATTTTCCATTAAAAGGACTTTATCAAGCATTGCCTCATTGTGTGTTTTTCATGTTCTGTGGCACATTCGTTAAAGATGTGCATGTCTGAGTCATTCATTCAGAGTGGCTGCAGATGTGTCTGTGTAATGATGACTCTTGTAAAAGACAAGTTGGTTGTTCAATTAATGTCAATCCTTTTGCTCTCTCCAGAGTTGCTGTGAAAGTGCTAGAGCACAGTTCAACTGGCTAAGCCAGAGAACGATTATCAAATGGAGAATAAACATAATTAAATTATTTCTTATGTATTGTTTTTAATTGTAGTTCTGGCTATAGAAAAATACTAGCTTAAAATCAGTTAAAAAGGCTGCAATTGGCAGACATCTAAACGACAGTCAAACTTATGGACTAGGAAATTAGAGTTTAATAATTTTGTGTATTTCTTTTCTTAACAATAGAGCTCTAATATTTCAATTCTGGCTGAATTAAATGTATATAAACTAGACGTGTTTACATGGTTACAATATTCTAAATAATGTGTAATATAATTGGAATATAAATCTAAACTAGTTATCTAAGCACTTTAATGTGTTCTACCCTAACTTTCAGTTGCAAATTCAATGTAGAATCTATTAGTATTT